CTCCAAGCCAGGGTCTCAGCGGTACGAAGGATCACACAATCACAACCATCCTCCTTAACAAACACTCTTTCTGAATCAACCCCTGCTTCTCACTGCTTAAAAAATTCCATATCATGGTTATAACTTAACAGTATTTTTTTACCTTCAGGATGCCATTAACTTAGGCACTCCATACTTTAACAATGGTACGCCAACTTTTATGATGATGATAATTACACAGTGTAACATTATTATTCATTAACATTTAAAACAATAGTGATAAATTAACCAGCAGCTAATTTAAGAGCGTGTCAATGTTGAAGACACAGTCCTGAATGTAAAGGTGTTTCCATTTAGCTATTTTTAAGTCAGGTGAAATTGAGTAAGGAACATACAATCACTGGCCTGTGTTCAGCACTTTGTAATCACCCAACTATTTGGTCAATTCTTGATTATATCTCCCATAGTGCAATAATGTCTGCTGCCACATCTATCTTACCACCACCCCCAGTTTAAATGTTTTTCCTCTTTCTAAATATGTTTAGAAAACTTGTAGTCATTAAAAAACACATTCCTAATTCTTCCTAATCTGTTACTAGAGTCTGAACCTTACCCAAACAAGAAACACTTATGCCTTTTATTTCGTAGTCGATACATAATGTTCATTACCTATTCTCAAATATTCATGTTTCTTAAGTGTTTCTTTCCTTTAAAGGTATAAGTGGTATAGCATTTTGAAACACAGGTTTGTTTGACCTCCTTTTCCTACTTTCTCCGAGACTCAGATTCTAGAAAGTTTGTTGGTTTGCTCCTAAGTATCAACCAGGACTTAAATTTTCTTGCAGTGGATTCCTGTAACCACAACCCACCAGAGAAATGCTCTGTTAAAAGCAAGGCATAATTGACTTTCACCTCATTTTGACTTCCATCTATAACAGACTGGATATATTCTCAACTCAAAATATGAAAGTCAGACCAAGCAGTACCATCACTACCATGTACCTTGCAGAAAACTCGATCAGTGGGAGTTAATGGCCAACAGAACATGGTATAGGCAGAGGAAGAGAACTGCCAGGCACCAAGATGCTGCTTCTGTGTTCACTTATCAGACAAAGAACATCTCTACAGGCCATGTAAAGATTTAACAAGCTGAGCAAACTGAGTAACACCTCCAGGTAAAGTTAATAGCCTGATAAATCAGCATATGCAAGCAAACTTTGCAAAGTTAAACTGGCTACCATTAGAAGTCAATACTGATTTTGGACTGTTTTGTTACATCAAGAACTAACTCGCTATATCCAGATTTTAATGGAATTTGTAATCTAATTAAGTAAACAAAAGCAAATTCTAAAAGGTAAAATTAAAAATAGTACAAATTAAAGGCAGGAAAATGGATCAGATAAGTCTTTCCCTTTAATCTTAAAATTTTGCCTAGAAAGTTGAGAAAATTTCCTGATTTCTCCTGATATCTTCTATAATCTCATGTAACATTAACAGAAGAGCTTTAAACATACAACCAACTCCAGTGATTGCAGTTAATTTGCTTTTTTAAGGAAATTAAAAAAAAAAAAAATCAGTCATCACACTCAGTTGACCATGCAAACTGCAAGCCTGGTTTTCTGACCCAGGAAAGACAAGAGAGACCATAATCAAGAATGAAATCATTAATCACCTGGATTAATAAAATCTACAAACACAGAGCAAGCACAGCTCCCACAAAAGGCCAGCCTACTTTTCTAACTTGCCCAAATTCTATGGAAGTGTCAACTCACAAACAAATAAAAGGAGCCTACTGAACATAATGTAATTGTGAAGAGGCTTAATCAAGCTAAATTGTCAAGGACTGGAAGAAAGGTCACTTACTCAGCCTGAGAGCTGAATAAAGGATAGAGAAGAAAAAGTAAGGCATAGTAGTTGCTTTCCAGAAGAGAGAAGGGTGATGGAAGCCTCTGGGGACCACTGGCAGTTAGATTTATTCACCACTTTTATCAATTTACAACAGAACGGAAAGTACAGTCAAATCCCCTAAATTTGTAAACAGAACAGCTTGCTTTACCCCCTCATTACTGCTACATAAATCTGTACTGAGCTGTACTGCCACTGACTCCACATTAAAAAGGTACTAAAGCAGGAAGAAACTGTATGGAAAATTTTTAGTTAATACAAGAGGAAGAATATTTTCTGTTGCTTTCACCAGGAAATTGCTGAAAAAAGATGCTGGTCATTTAAATCTTGTCACAGCTTCCACAAAGCAAAACCAGCATGCTTCCAGAAAGGCACTGGCCCTAACACTACAGATACTCTTGCAAAAAATGTACCATCATGCAACACAGCATCATATGTTCTCTCAAGACACTGCTTCCATAGAAATACACATTGTCAACAAACACTCTTCTTCTTTACCAAAATTTGTATTTCAGAGCAAATCTTTACTATGTATCCTATTTCAGGATAGTATTTGTTTAATTGCTAAAGGAATATAATTCAAACAGCTATGCTATCATATTAAATCAGCTATAGTAGAGTATTTTCCCCAGCCTTGTACAGAAAACAACATGAACCTCCTCACTGGAAAATACACTTTCTATTTATATACATTTGAAGAAGAAATCACAGACGGGGAGAAAATTACAAAAATCTACCATCTGAGCTGCATATAACATAGACCTAATAACACCGCCCAAAAATTTTAATTTCACCGTGAAAATAGTTCCAATAAGGTAAGGAAGGGTTGTTAGTCTTTCTACCATTAGATGCATTAACTATACACACACATATATGTATAATTAAATCCAAAATAACGTTCACTTATAACTGAGGTAAGACTAAGCAGAACTTCTGCACTATCTGAGCTTTCCTCTCTGAAACAGAGCGACAAACTGCCCCCAACAGCCATCCTTACCCTGCTTTGGTACTTCAGACCCTTGCTGTAAGGCTCAGCCAAGGTCATAGAGAAAGTCAGCACTGTAACAAGCCTGTGACCCCAAATCCTGGTGAGATCTCGCTGCCTCTCAGCAAGTTGTTCAGAAAGAAAATATTCTGCACATCATTACCTATCTTCTGGCTTACCCAGCACTTCTCATGCAGTCAAAAGCTGCATCAAACAACATTTACTACTACATGCTGACAGACAAAAGCAAGTTTAGAATTACACTTCACAGTGTAAAGCCTCAAACATTAATTACATATATAATAAGATTGCTGAAATGCTAAATCAATGTCAAGAACTAGATTTTTTTTTCTTTTTTATTTGCGTTCCTGTACTGCCACCTAAAGCTCAGATTGAAAAACAGGAACAGCAGTGGACAACACGATTTTTATCTGTAGATAAAATGGAAACGAGCAGGAATGATTTTTTTCTGATAGCTGGCTTTGAACAAAGATCACTCCAGATTCAACCAGATTAAAACCAGATACATGAAACATTTTGAAACATGATTGCACATCCCAGTCTAGCAGTACTTCACCATTTTTCGAAATTCCATTCACTACACAAAAAACAAACAAACAAACAAAAACCCAAACCCAAACAAAACCCACAAAAAATTAAGATCTATGTATGGGTTATGTATGGACTTTATGGATTTTATTTAACAAAGTCCACTCAACAAGATGCCACTGCCTTTAAGAACGTCCACTTGGACAGTCTTATCTATAAACTCTGTCTAGCCGTAGTATATTTTACAAAGGAAGACAACTGGCAGAAAAATATTTTTAACTTCCTTATTTAACCTTTTAAAATTTAATTATATCACTATTTAGGAAAAAAAAAAAAAAGCATAGCCTTTCATGATATAACAAGTTGGTAACACTACTATTTCTCCCAACAAAACACATCCTGGTTATACACCTACATCAAAACACTTCAGATTCGTTTTTATTCTACCTATTGTCTCCCAAAGTCTCTTCAAACTGAAAAGATACAGACAGTCACCACCCCGAAGGACTCTGATGTCACCAGTCAAACTTCATAAATATATTAGCTAAAAATCTGTTTTTCACTTTGGTGTCTGCTTAGGGTTTGTTTGAGTATGCTGAGGTGAGATGCAAGCATGACCCGGAACACATCGTCAAACTTTTCTCTGAGAAAATGAGGATACGTTATCTTAAACCAGAAGCTAAAATGTCCCGAGACAAAAAAAAAGACACAGAGCAAATCACTAAGATTGTTAAAACAAATAAAACTTGTGGTATTTTCAAAATAAAATAAACCAGAAATAAAACAAACAAAAAGCTAGCTGTATTGGATTTTCTCTTCTTTTCTTCACCTCTTGGCAATTATACACGGGTTCGGATTACCTATCAACATGCTTCAGGTCTTAATATACAGATCTACAAACAACTCGTCACAGTCTGGCTTGCTGGGAAATTGATAAAAGTCAGAAAACAGTTTTGTTTGTTTGTTTCTAAACAAACAGAGAAAGGTAATGTCAGTTTCTCAGTTTCCACCTGTAAGGATCTGTGGGAAGACGGAAGGCATTTATTTAACGCATGTCTCAAAACCACGTGCTCCTTAAGCGGGATAAATCTGCGCGCCCGACAGGAAGCTCAACTCCGCCTATTTCATGAAGCCTGGTGCCTCGTCACCTCTGCGAAAGTCCAGGGCAGAGCCCCGTTTTGTCCCCTACCTGAGGGGAAACGGGAGCCGCCAGGCACCGCCAGCCCAGCGGGAAAACCGCGGCACCGCACCGAGCCACGCCGGCACTGCTGGCTCCGGCCAGCCCGGCAAACTCCCACCAAACTCTCGACGTCCGGGAGTTTGGCGAAAGCGCAAAAAAGCCTTAAGAAAAAAAAAAAAATAAAAACCCCAACGTAAAGGAGCGGCAGGAAGCAGCACGTCGCGTCCCTCAGCCCCGGAGATACCCCGCCGGGGAGACGCGGCAGAGCCTCCTCCCCGCAGAAATACGACCCCACTCCACTCCCCCCCACCGCGCACAGCCCGGCACTGCCCCGCCCCAGCGGAAGGGGCGGCGCTGCCCCGGCGGGGCGCGGGAAGGGCGGCCATGCGGCCCCGCCGGTACCTGCGCAGGCAGCGCTCGCACAGGCTGCCCAGCTGCTCCTTGGTGAGGACGTAGGCGAAGGGCTCGGCGCGGTAGAGCAGCTCGCCGGGCCGCACCCGCCGGCGGGAACGGAGGCCGCTGCCCTTTCCCGGGCTCGGGAACCGCTCCAGCGCCACCGGCTCCATCCTCCCGCGCGCGCCGCCACGGGGACAGGGGAGCGCGGGCGGCCCCGCCCGCCGGCACGTGACGCGGTGCTGCCGCCGCCATCTTAAGTCAGGGCCAAGGCCGGGTGGGACTGTGGGGATTGAGCCGAGGTTTTCCGTAGTGTTGTGTCCTGGCACAGGGCTGGGCAGGACAGCTGCACTGAAAGGCCGTGCGGCAGAGGGCAGCCCTTTTCCCGAAAAGGGGGTTAATGCATATAACAGAGTCCCAGAATAGATAAGGATGGAAGGGACCACAGGGGGCCATCTGGTCCAGCTTCCCTGCTCAAGCAGGAACCCCATTGCACAGGTTTGCGTACAGACAGTTCTTGAATATTTCCAGTGAGAGAGACTCCACAACCTCTCTGGCAATGTGTTCCAGTGCTCAGTCACCCACACAGTAAAGAAGTCCTTCGTTGTGTTAAGGTGAAACTTCTATGCATCAGTTTCTGCCTGTTGCCTCCTGTCCTATTGCTTGGCCCCACCGAGAAGAGCCTGGTTCCATCCTCTTGGCACTCTCCCTTTAGATGCTTATACACATTAATGAGGTTCACTCTTAATCATTTCTTCTGAAGGCTGAACAAACCCAGCTCTCGTAGCCTTTCCTCATAAGAGAATTTTTATTAACACATCACTCGGTGCTGCTAACTGCAGTGGCTGTCAGTGTTTCCATGGACAACTGCAAATGGTTTTTTCAGTTGCTGTAGAACTTCGTGGGTTGGTTGGTTGGCTTTTAAAGGGAATGAGGGGCAGTCACAAAATGTCTAATTGTAAATTCTTCTTAACCACAATACAGGAAGCCCTTGTGACACAGACACCTTGCAGCTGCTGCAGGTCAGCCTCAGAAGGAACCTGAAGCGATAGGAAGTCCCAGCTGCCACGTTAGCCTTGTCCAGCACCATTCCTGATTTATTCCTGTACCCACCCAGCTTCAATGCTGACATGGAAGTGCAAAAAAACACAAATGAGGATATGTGGAGGTTGCATCCCCGCAGCTTTGTATGTAAAGAAGGGAATTTCCCCAGGCCCTACTCAGCACCAGCCTAGGGCCATGGCCTCCAAGGGACCACAAGCAATCAGAAAGCCCCGCAAGCCAGGCAGCTGTTGCATTCTAATGCAACAACTCTTCTTCATCCTTTGATGTACTGCAAAGAGAAAATCATACTATTTTTGTATTGACACACAAGGGTTTCTCAGTGACTTTTTTTCACTGATGCAACACTGAAACCAGCATAGAAGAGTGAGATCTGAGGCAGGGGCATCATCGTGTGAATACCCATTTATTGCAGATAGTACACTTTTCAGTTTGTTATCTTGATCAAAATATTAAACAGTTTGGTTCACAAAGGAAGAGATGAAAATTATTCTGTCAAAAAACACCCCAAAATGAGACATTTTATTTATGAACTAGCATATGGATATATTTCTGGATCACATCTGTGATGCAGATTGACTTTGTCTGGTTTTCCTCATTACGCCTATAGAGGGAGGTAGGGCCTGTGTTTTAGAAAGGGCAGCTGACTCATCCTGTCAAAGCACAATGAGACGAAGACCTAAAAGTTCTGCAAAACAGGCGTTCGTTGCTGAAACACACTCAAGTTTTGTTCTTGGTAATGATTATTTCAGTTTGCAATTGTTCCCATCCAAGCTGCAACAAAGTACTCAGGAATGACAATATAAATATCCAAAACACTGCTATTGGGAAGACTTAAGTCACAAGATTTTCACAGAAAAATGTATTTTAACATTCACTTAAATGCTGCAATGATGTAATTCACTACCAAAAGAACTGACAGCAGTCTGGCTGTCAGTGAAATCATTATGCATATTACTATGTTTATTTTTAGCCCTCCTGGCAAATTTTTAAAGAGTGTTCAATTACAGTGGTGGTGTGAGATTCTCAAGAATTATCCTTAACAGTTATTAAAATATTAGAAGATTACTTCTGTATTTGGTTTGTATGCTTTGCTCCTTCACCTATACGATCTTCTGCATTTCCTTGTCTATGATGTTTCGAGTTTCTAAGCAGACATTGCCCAAAACCTGTGACAAAAACAAACCCAGTAATAACAGAAGGTAACATCTGTATCTATTAGTGTGTAAATTTAAGAAATCAATAGTCAAACAATATGCAAAAAGCATGAACTTAGAGCCCTACCTATGAACGGCAAAAGGTGCATTCAGGGAAGAGCTAATATGAATATACATTATCACATGTAATTTTCATTATTTTCTCAGTTTCCCATTTCAGGTTTTCTCACTCACATGCCCAACAAATTCTCGCAAAATACAGAAACATATCTGAGGGAATGACAGTCTACTGTCTCGCGCACAAACAAAATGAAAACCACAGCCTTGAAGAGCCCAGCTACTCTAGCAAAACTAAAGTATGAGTAGCTGAAGGGACTTCTATCAGTTTGGCATAAGTAAAATAAGCCACAGAAGCCCAAGATCAGCTTTTAACTGCTGTTACATTTCAAGTGGTACAACAACATAGTTGTAGTAATAGAGTTTTTTTATTGTGGGTAAGATTTTAACACATCGTAAACATTTTCATTGCAGTGTTGGATATTTTGAGTTCTGTACAAAGAGCCTGGAGAGCTTATTCGGGATACCGACATCTACATGGTATAGGCTGGTCTGCCTAGGAGGGCCATTCAACAGTCTTTAAGCAATGGTAATCAATGGAATGCCCAATTCAGATGTTTTTGGAAGCATCAATGAGAATTTTCTGAGAAGCATAATGATACTAGGGCTATATATTCCAATAAGTGCTTCTTTAGCCCCTGACAATATTTAGTTGAATTTAATCCCTGTTATCAGTATGGTGTTTTTATATGACCAAGTCATACACTGACCTAAACAGGTCAGGCTTCTCAAGAGCTATTTGAAGTGCATGACACATTCTGGACAGAAGCAGCTGTCAAGGCGTGTAATAAAGGCACTTTAGTGGGAAATATCACTTAATTGTGGCTGATACTGCTGAATTAGTCATACTTCCTTGCAGCCAGGAGACACTGTAGTGGAAGTTTAGCTCTTCTATCTCAAGACAGCATGTTTTACAACAGGAATTTAGAGAAACAATTGCAATAATTAAATAATTCAAATTCTGCTCTTTAGTCACAAATGTGCAACAGCCAGTCCAAACAACACAGCACAGAAGGGAATATTTCTGGGAGCAAAATATGGCTCAAAACACAAAATGTTACATTTTGGATTGTATGAAATCTCTGTTACTAATGGCCTAGAATAGCTATCAGGTGGCTTAGAATACCTATCAATGAGTTGAAATCTTGTAAGCACAGAGAAATCTTTTATGAAGCCATGTCTCTCGAAGAGGTCTCTTCACTTTCTGTGTTGATGAGCTAGTAAAAAATTGATTCTAGAATGTAAAATTAAAAATCGCTGCAGAAACATTTTAAGCACAAATTCATAATAAATTTCACTCCTAGCAACAAATTTTATCTGTTGATTTTTTTACTAGGAACTTTACAAAACCATTCTACTTTTATTTGTGTCTTCCCTGCCTCAATTTCCTTCAAATGACAGAAGCACACTTACATAGTTCTTAGCTGTTTTGTCTATTTGGGGTCTTATCAAAAGAATCAACTACATCAAGGGTTGAAGACTTGCTTACATTATGAGTAACTGAGTGTTCCATTTGGTGTTTCTTAACTACTCCTAATTTCCCTTGGGCTTCGTATGTTTGCTGCATGTTGTGTTCTATCAGCTGGGGACAGCCAGCGTGCCTAATTTTAGCAGTGACGTTAAAACAGCCCACGCAGGGAAAGACACAGTAGCTGTTGAGGAAGGATACAATGTGAGTGAATAAACATCTCCCACTGACTTCTTGTCCTTTCTGGAAAAGTTACTTGTTATTTCCATTTTCTCAATGTTTCCAGAAGAAACATACAGGTTGCTAATTAGAGGCTTGTAAAGCTCAGGTTGGAGTTTTCAATCTGCAGCCCCACAGATTGTGTTTAGCTTGGCAAAACAATTAATTCAACATGTTTCTCAGGAAGCCTCGGGTTCTTCCTGTCACACTTGCACATCTTAAACTACACCACACAGTCTGTTTCTTGAGTTTTATGTTGTTATTTCTATCAACATTATCATTATTACCTGCAAGGCTGAGCTCTAATTATTAAAATGCTCAGTGCTGAACAGGTCTAGTAGCCAGTATATACACATTCCACCTTAACAACCCCTTACAACCGCATCTACTGCGATAATTATTACAAGGTCACAAACCCTTCCTCTGGATCAGAAGTGAACTGACTAGAGAGTTCAACTAGACTGATCTTCTAGTTCCAAATTTCTTATTACCTGGGCACCATAATGACCAACTTTACTTCTGTTTCTATTTGTGTTTGTTATGATTATAATATATTTAATAGTAAAAATTAGGCAATTGCCATCACAGTCATGTAATTTTTTTTTCACAGGCAGACGGATGGTAATTTTCTTTCACAGGCAGACGGATGGTACAAATTATAAGCACCATTGTAAAAGACTTAACATCTCTAAAGTCATAATCAATATAGAAACTATGATGTATGGGGTTTTTTATGGCCAAAAGCCATTTTTTTGGCAGCTCCTCTATGAAACAATATTGGAAGAGCAGGTGCAACACTTCAAAAAAAGTGTTTTACCAAGTAGCTGTGTCATGTGTGGTTCACATTTCATGTATTACATTGGTCCTGGGAGAAAAGGGGGAAAAAATAGTACCCACAACCCCATTGTTTGGAAATATTTGAAAGGAATAGGTATACTGTGGACCTTCCATAAAGTATATGTATGAATGTTGTAACCTCCATCTCATCTGAGATCACGGATTTGAAGACAGAAAAACATAGGACGAAATAAATTTGCCCAAAAGTTTCCAGCTAATCAGTGTAATTGCAAAAATCTACTACTTTATATCTTGAATAGATATATCTTAAACATATTTAAGATATGTTTAAGATATTTAAAATATTCAGAACAACTGAATTGTGCCACATTTTCAAATGTTGGTGCATCTTTAAAAATAC